TGTCTGTCCTGACGTTCAATGGGACCGGCGCTGACTCTGCCGATCACGGGCGTTCTGGACTCGACAGGATGTCTGTCCTGACGTTTCCTGGGACCGGCTTAGACTCTGCCGATCACGGGCGTTCTGGACTCAACGGGATGTCTGTCCTGACGTTGCCTGGGACCGGTGGACTCTGCCGATTACGGGCGTTCTGGAGTCGACGGGATCTCTCTTCCGACGTTTCCTGTGACCGGCGCTGAATCGCTCGTTCACGCTTATTTTGGAGACGACGCGATCTCTCTTCCAAGGTACATGTATGTTTATGCTGACGCTGTTTATGCTGACGCATCCTATCACCTATTCGGCGTCTATTCTAATTTAATTTCCTCCTCGTCTCCCTATTTCATTCCAAATCTCCCTCTACATCAGGGAGTCGTATACATAATACAACGAATATTGGTACGGTACGGGACAGATACAGGAGCCCGCAAATATTGTGGACAGCTGTTATATACAATCCTGTAGAGCCTTTGTAGTCACAGATACGGGACAGATACGGAACAGATACGGGATAGCGCCAGGCGTGACACAAACAAACAAACAAACAAACACACAAACAAACAAATACCAAATTAAAGCTGTGTGGACCCTGGCTAGCGCCAGACGTTACTGAAGTAACGTCTTCTGCATAGCTACGGGAATTAAAGCTGTGTGGACCCTGGCTAGCGCAAGACGTTACTGAAGTAACGTCTTCTGGATAGCTACGGGAATAAATATGGGTATTTACGGATGGCCGCTAACGGTGTTTATTGTCTGTGTTTTCATTTATATCGCCAGGCCTAAGAGTGACAGTAACCCGGTGAGCGTGTCCTCAGAACCAAAAGGAAAGGCCGTAGAACCTGATGATGGCACTACGACAGCGTTTCAGCGGTAAGGACGGCTAGCCCGGGGCCAGCATGTCTACGGACGAGCATGCGAGCTTGTGTGTGTGGGGGGGGGTGGGTGGGCGTGCGCGCGCGCGTGTGTGTGTGTGCGTGCATGAATGTGTGTGTGTGTGTGTGTGCGCGCACGCGTGCTTGTGTTTGCATGCATGAGTGAGTGTTGAATGCAATGCCAACCTCGAGTAATTTGCCATGGTTTTTCCGGCGTGCAGTGTCAGACTCAAGCTTTTTCCAGTCGTACTTGGCTCACTAGGGTTTCAGATTAATAAATTAATTGCTACATGTAATACAAACACTGGGTGTATCTCATTCTCTTTGATGTGCCAGAGGTCAGCCATACAACCCTGAGTAGCCATCCTCAACTGATGGAAATAGACGCGATTCAAATTTCTTCAAGCGTTACTTATGATCCCCGGGTTTTATGGTGTGTGTGTGTGTGTGGGTGGGTGGGTGTGTGCACGTGCGCTTGTGTGTGTGCGTGTGTGTTTGTGTGTGTTTGTGTGTGTGTGTGGACGTGCGCGTGTGCGCATGTATGTGTGGTGTACGTGCATGTATGTGTGCATGCTTGCGTGTGGTGGTGGATGTACATGACTGTGCACTGTTTGTATATCCTACCCGCTGAATGCGGTGCAGTTTCTGGGAGCACACATCGCCTCGCCTCAAGGAGTGGTAAGTGACATACCGTATTATCTCCATTATAAACCCCGCCTTATATATTTTCAACCAGCCCGGACCCTGGGCTTACATTAGAGACTGGGCTTCTACTAGAGACTGGGCTTATAATTTGTTCTACCAGTAGCACAAGTCACGATTTCCCAGCAGGTACCGTGACTGCAGTTTTACTACTTTTTAGTAGACTGAGTCCGTACTTTTCATCTCGGGGATCACGGAATTGCACCTCAGCATGTGTATATGTGGTACTGTGTGACGTTAAACCTGCATGAACATGATCTATACCGTTCTCCATTACAAGCCCTGCGCTTATATTAGAGACTGCGCTTGTATATCTTCGAAGCCCTCTTAGAGTGGGCATATAATAGAGATAGAATAGTAGCGCTGTCGTCACCGTCTCTCTCTCTCTCTCTCTCTCTCTCTCTCCCTCTCTCTCTCTCTATCTATCTATCTATCTATCTATCTGTCTCTCTCTCTCTATCTATCTATCTTTATCTCTCTCTCTATCTATCTCACTCTCTCTATCTCTTTATCTCTCTCTCTCTCTCTCTCTCTCTCTCTCTCTCTCTCTCTCTCTCTCTCTCTCTCTCTCTCTCTCCCTCTCTATCTCTATCTCTCTCTCTATCTATCTATCTCTCTCTCTCTCTCTTTATCTCTCTCTCTCTCTCTCTCTCTCTCTCCCCCCCCCCTCCCCCCCCCCTCTCTCCCTAACCTGCTAGCCCAAGCGCGCTGGTACAGAGAAGGGAAACCATCCCAACAACAGAGTGAAAGTCGCTGTCTGACGATCACTGAAATGCGTGAAACTTTAAAAGCTACTGCTCCGCAACCCTTCAACCCTTCGCCTCCTCTGTTAGTGCATAATGCTGTGCACTCTCTCAAGCGGCAACTAATTGGCTATTAACAGACATTTGTTTGCTTGTGTCCCCTCCGTTGTTCCGTTGTGCTCAGGGCACAGAGTTACAGCACCGAGAACGAAGTCAAGACCGACGTTGCTACCATGACGCCAGGTTACTCGTCCTTCGCCTAGCTGCCCCCGCTCTCCCTGTATCTATCCATCTCTCGTTCTCTGTCTGTATTTCTCTGTCTGTCTGTCTGTCTGTCTGTCTGTCTGTCTTTCTGTCTGTCTCTCGATCATCTGGTCTGTGCCCGCCTTTGTCACTTGTCTCCCTTTTCAATGCCTTCTCGTTAACACAAGCACGAAAAACAAATGCTTTTTGCCAAAATAAATTCTATTTTCTTCTCTACCTACAGTCCATTTCAAAACTATAGACGCGTGAACTCATACGTACGAGTCGTACGTACTGTAGCGCACGACAGCCGTGAGTTTTGCCTGAGTGTTTTCTGGTTTTCAGATGTGTTTTCAGGTTTTTCTTTGTCGCCGCGGGAAATACAAAAGATGCAAAACACGCAAAGTCGCAAATGAAAAGGTGCGAGGAAAGTCTCAAAAGACATGAAAGTCTCAAATGAATCTTCTTCTTGTTTGCATTTTCTGAGTGCCTGACTGTTAGGGCCGATTCCCAATACGGTACCGTGAGTGCCGTGCCGACGATTTGGGTAGGTCACGTGTACCCCACGGTACGAGCTTGAAGCTGAGAGTGATTTACACCTGCGCACAGTCATTCCGTGCATTCCCGCCGGCAGGCCGGATCACCATTTTTATTAATTTCTGACTTTGGTCCTGAGGGAAAATATAGCGGGGGAGATGACTGGAGAAAGCTCAAGAATCAACCAATCGAAAAGCCAAAAGCCAAGAAAAAACTTCGTACCACAAATACAAAAGAAAGAAAAAACTTCCTTTCAGGGAGTAGTAAAATACCTACTACTCACTGCATTCGACCTCGCGGAATACCACGGGATGCCATTTCCACCCCCGAGAGGCCCTCGGCACCGGAATGTCCACGGCGCGGTACGGAAGGAGCCACGGAATGAACTCGCGCCAAAACTGCCCCTCACGTGAGCAAATCACCATGGGTACTCACGACACGGCACTCACGGTACCGTGCCGACGATTTGGGTAGGTCACGTGTACCCCACGGTACGAGCTTGAAGCTGAGAGTGATTTACACCTGCGCACAGTCATTCCGTGCATTCCGTCGGCAGGCCGGATCACCATTTTTTTTCAATTTCTGACTTTGGTCCTGAGGGAAAATAGCGGGGGAGATGACTGCAGAAAGCTCAAGAATCAACCAATCGAAAAGCCAAAAGCCAAGAAAAAACTTCGTACCACAAATACAAAAGAAAGAAAAAACTTCCTTTCAGGGAGTAGTAAAATACCTACTACTCACTGCATTCGACCTCACGGAATACCACGGCATGCCATTTCCACCCCCCAGAGACCCTCGGCACCGGAATGTCCACGGCGCGGTACGGCAGGAGCCACGGAAAGAACTCGCGCCAAAACTGCCCCTCACGTGAGCAAATCACCATGGGTACTCACGGCACGGCACTCACGGTACCGTAGTGGGAATCGGCCCTAATGGCTTCCAAGGCCCGTAAGAATCTCAGTGATGCCGAGAAAGATATGATTAGTCGTGTTCATTGTTTCTTCGAACAAGAGCTGGATTTTGATCGAAGCTTGAGTATCCGAAATCCTCGTCGTCGAACTCACCTTGCAACTGGCGTGAGTGAAACCACTGTCACTCGTTGTGTCAGGCGAAGGGAACAGGGAGGCTCAAATCATATCAAAAAGAGAAAATATAATTATCATCCCTACTGTATTTCACCCAACATTATCCAAAACAGGCAGAAAAGAAGAAAAAAAGGCAGGAGGCGTGATGGGATTCGAATGCTCCACACTTGTACTGGAAATCACGGATCGAAACCACGAGGCTACCAGGACCCGTACAAAAATGCACCCGCGATGGTCTGGGCGCAGCACTGTCTCAGCAGGAGCAAAATCCGAAACAAACTGGTCAAACCCTTCAAAACATTAATTACATGTAAAACCGGAAAACCTGGCCTAAAAATAAACTTCAATTGTAGCGAAAACAAAGTATTTAGCCAGAATTGTGAAGCGATGCAGAGACGGAATCTGGAGAAAAAACTTAAAAAAATTAAATAAATCCCATCGAATTTTGCAAAACACTACGCGTCTATAGTTTTGAAATGGACTGTAGCTAGCCAGGACTGCAGGAGCAAGAATAGAATTCTGTAACTATGGCAACTCTGCTTGTGTAAGCATGGCAACTCAGCTGGGTGGTGTGCTACTGTGGCCGACCCAAAGTGGAAAACTGGCGCCGATGTGCCGATTCCGATGATATCACTGTATTTGTAGATGTGTATACAGTAGGGAGGGCCGGAATATGCTTGCGCATATTTTCGCATATTTTCGCATATTTGGTCCTTTTGACACAAGGTCGCATAAAGTAGCAAATCTAGCATATTGTACCAAATGTAGCATATTTTGCT